TAGATAGATAGATAGATAGATAGATAGATAGATAGATAGATAGATAGATAGGCAGATAGATACATATATAGGCAGCTAGGTAGGCAGGCAGATAGATACGTAGATAGATACATAGATAGGCAGATAGACACATGGATAGGCCTGCAAAAATATAGACAGGCAGATAGAGAGCTAGACAGATAGATACCTGGATAAGCAGATAGTTAGACAGAGAGAGAGGTAAGTAAGGTAGATAGGCAGATAGATTGATAGACTGATGGAAAGATGGACAGCAGACTAAAAATGGGGTCTTAGGTAATGAAGACAGTGGAGTGGAGTGAAAGTATCTCTGTTTGAATCCCAGCCTGGCTACTTAGTACCTGGGTCCCTTTACTTTTCTGGACTCTTATTTTCTCACGTCTAAAATGAGGGATGGACTAGATTACTTCGAGTTCTTAGTCTATGATCCTAAGAATTAACATCGAATGTTGATTGGGCATAAATGCCATTTGGGATCAAGTAGGGGGAGAGGAGAGAGGCAGCTATAGACAGAGGATAACAGTTCTAGAACTGGAAAGCACCTAAGAGGCCATTTAGCTCAACAGCTTTCATTCTACAGATGAGGAAACTGAAGCCTGGGGAGGTTAAATAACCTTCTCAGGGTTGCACAGGTAGTTAGCGTCAGGGGCAGAATAAATGCTATTTGGGATAAAATATGGAGAGAAAGATAGAAACAGCAAGGTATGGTGGGTAGAGGGCCAGCCTTGGAGTCAGGAAGACCTGAGTTCAAGGCTGGCCTCTGACCCATCCTGGCTATGTGACCGTGATTGGATGAGTCACTTAACCTAGTGACCATAGGCCTAAAGCCATGAATTACAGGTTAATTGCTGATCTAAGTCAGCTGAATGAATTTCAGCTTTCCAACATCAATGAAATCATAAGTCTGAACCACAAACAAAAAAATGGATGCATGGTCGTAAGAATGCATATATGGATGAACAAGCAAATGAATAAACAAATAAATAAAAAGATGAGTAAGAGGGAGGGGATTGCTCAAATTTCTCCAAACCTCTCTCTTGGAATGAAGAATTTTGTTGGTAATTAGATCACTACAACGCAGGATAGTGCTTCTTGGCAGGGAGACAGAGAAGCATTGGACTCTTTATCAGGAAGGTAAGGGGCAGGTGGGGAGAAGGAAGATATAGAGGATCCATAAGACAGGACTCAAACCCTTTCAGAATTCCCCCATATTTGATCCCCCCCAAAAGGGAACTTCTTTTGGACCTGACTAAACATTCTAGACAATTCTTTTTTCAGATGCTCCAAATTTCAGGAATTTACTAAAGATATGGAATTTAGTAGTCCTAATTTTGTTTCTAAATTAGCTGGACATTGGGGACAAGAAGGTCCTGGTTGAGAAGATACAAAACTTTCTGTACCGCCTCCCTCCATCCCACCAATGGAAAGAATTTGTTGTAGTCTTACACTGACCACAAGGTTTTCAGAGAGACAACTAATGAGCGTCCACTCTCTTGGTTTTCCAAATCTCAGGCACCAGACTAGCATCTGAGCCCTGGTTGTCAATCAGTAAATCAACCAGCATTTATTAAATGCTTGCTATATGCTGGCCATTATGCTCTCTGATCTCCTTCTGGGCAGGGTCCCTGTTGGCTGAGGGCATTTTCTCCTCCCACTGGGCAGGTTGAACCGGGTCCAGTATGAGATGCCCCTCTGTGATGAAGAATCCACCTCCAAGACCCTGAACCTCATGGGAGACTTTTCGGCCCCTGCTGAATTCTTTGTAACCCTGGGAATTTTCTCCTTCTTCTACACCATGGCTGCTCTGATTCTTTACCTTCGTTTCCACAACCTGTATACTAAGAACAAGCGTTTTCCTCTGGTGGTAAGTGGATGGGGCTGGGGAGACAGGGAAGAGGAGTCAAAGAAAATGGTCTGAGTGATGGAGAGACTGGTGACATACTGGGACCCCCCTGCAACCTAAGACATTGAGTTGGGGCGATCTGAAACCATGCAGTACATATGTATATGTGTGTATATGTGTATAAAATAGAGCTTACAGCATAAAGCAATTTCTGATTCCTATATCTATCCATTAGCCATCTCCTCCTAGCCCTCCCCTGTCTCCTCTTTTTTCTCCTCTCCACTGGCTGGAACCATCCCAGAGAGGGGTGTCTCTGGGTTTTCATGCTCCCTCTGCCCTTCATTCTCCCCTCTCTTGCCCCTCAGCTGCAGCAGAGTATTCTGATGCTGCTGGGAGCAAAGGAGAGCCCAGGAGGAGGGAGAGGAGGGGGAGTAACCTAGGCAACCTCAGGGTTGAGTATAGTATAGATAGTGAGACACAGGACAGGGCTTTGGGGTGGAGCTGTCTAAGGGGCCCCCTGGCAGAATGGGCTGACAAGCCTTGGAATTCTAGGGGATAGGGAGGGGGGGAGTCCCCAGGGAAGAAGCTACCTTTGCTGCAAATGTATGGCATGCCCAGGGAGACTCAGGCTGGCAGGGCTTACAGGCTGTCTGGTTTTGCACCCTTCCTTATCCCCCACAATCTAGCTGAGTCATGGAATGGAATGGAGGAGGTGGGAGAGCAGTGTCAGTGGAATTCCCTCTGAGCAGTATTCCCTGTCCCTCCACCCACTTTAGGACTTCTGTGTGACTGTCTCCTTCACCTTCTTCTGGTTGGTGGCAGCGGCAGCATGGGGCAAAGGCCTGACGGATGTGAAGGGGGCCACTCGGCCTTCTAGTCTGATTGCTGCCATGTCAGTATGCCATGGGGATGAGGCTGTCTGCAGTGCTGGGGCCACCCCCTCCATGGGGCTTGCCAACATCTCTGTGGTAAGAGTCCCTGTCACTGGGGGAGGGTGATATACACAACATGATCCCTGGGCTCATCCTAGCCAACCTGTTCTGAAAGATGAATGCAATTGTCACAGGGACATGGAGAGCTTACTCCAAAGACTGGCTCCTGCTTTAACCCCTGGGCCACCCCTTCTTCCCCCTCCTAACTCAATGCTACCTTTCCCTAGTAGTTAGGTAGGTCAGAATAACTAATCCCCTGTTGCTGGCTGGAGTTGCCGTGGGGTTCCTGAGAAGCCCTACTTTTCTTGGCACCAGGTACAGAATTTAGGATTATCACTCATGTAAAGAAGGTAGGGGACAGTGGATGGGTGGGGGGCACAGCTTTAACCTCTTCCTTATTTCCTCACTTCTCTCTGCCTACAAACAGACTCTCTGCTTGCCACCTCCTACTCCTCTGGGTTTATAGGTGTGTATGTATATGTATGAATCAGGAGAATACAATCAAGCAGGGCTGGGAACAGGGGAAAGGAGCCAGGAAGATGGCTGGAAGGGCCAGAGTCCTCATTAGAGGAGCCTAGGGTCAGAGAGAGGAGTGGGCTGGCCATGTAGAGTGCTGCTCTGACACCTAGGAAAATAACTCTCATGTCACCCAGCCTCGATTGGGGGCTGCATGAAGTGTTCATGAAAGGACCTTTAGACCTGGCTCTGGTCTGGGGCCTGAATGTGGCCCTGGGGCTTAACTGAGGAGGTGAGAGAAAGTCACTGAGGGGAGGGACCTACCCTGAATGTACAGGCCACCAACTCTACATTTGCCTGGTTGAATAGAAGTGGTGACAGACATTGGCCATGCAAAGCTCCTTCAAGTCCCACACAAAGGCTTCTCTGATGCTCAGCCAATTAACCCCCTCTTCATTATTCTCTATCACCCAGGGAGCCAGATCTTCCCGGAGAGCGAGCTACTCACTGGACATATGTTGGCTATAGATCTGGATACACACTATTGTATCTGTATTAAGTCTTTCAGACCACTAGGGTACCATTTAGCATGATGGCGACAGCTCCCCTGCCCTTGGATTCCTCGCCTCTGTCACAGTCTCTTGCTTTCTGCCTCTGTCTTTCAACCCCTTTCTTTGTTTCTATCCTGCACTCCTATGTTCCCGCATACCTGTATACTATACACAACTGGGCACATATGCATGTGATAGCTGTAGCTTCCTGCTTTGGGATTCTTTACCACCACCCCAGTCTCTAGCTTTCTGCCTCTTTCTATCCCTGTCAATACCCTATACCATATGCACACACGTGCATTCAGAGATCCCACACAACTGAGTGCATACGCATACACTTTCACACATGTAGACATGTATACATAGAGGCTTGGGCACCTATACACATGCACATGAACACATGCCCACCATGCCATGCGTGCATGTGCCTGCACATGTATATATGCACACACTCACTATGTTTGCACACAAGTGGATGTGACAAGCTCTCTCTTCAAGACAGGAGTTGTTTGTCCCCTCTGCTTACTCACCCTTCCTGATATCGTTGCAGCTCTTTGGTTTCATCAACTTCTTCCTGTGGGCTGGGAACTGTTGGTTTGTGTTCAAGGAAACCCCGTGGCATGGGCAGGGCCAGGGCCAGGACCAGGACCAGGACCAGGACCAGGACCAGGATGCCAGCAAGGAGAGTGCAGCTGAGCAGGGCGCTGTGGAAAAGCAGTAGTTAGCCTGTCTGCCTCTCTCCTGTCCAGCTCCCGACGGACAGCACCTCCTCCCCCGGCTTCTTCGGCTTCCTTCCAGGACTTCCCTCCTCTTGTACCTCTCCCCTCCTTGCTGATTCTTCTGGGCTAGGTGCTCGGGGACAAAGGATGGGCCGGCGCCCCACCTACCTCCCCGGGGGCAATTATCCCTCTGAGTTCCCCATCTCTCCCTTTCTGTTCACGGGCAGGGTCCCAGGCTGGGCGGGAACTCAGCACTGTGTGTTTTCTGCCTGGCCCAGGTGGTCTTACTCATCTAGCTGAATCTGAGAATCAGTGTCCTGCTGAACAGGGGCAGGTGGGAGGACGGGGGAGGGGCATGCAGCAGCACTGAGTCTGTTCCCTTTAGTATCCTCCAGGGATGGCCCAGCCCAGCTCCAATAGTAAAGGGTTGGGGGGAGTAGAAAGGTACAAGAGAGGTGCTGGATGGTGGCTTCTCCCTCCCACCGAAGGGCCCAGCAGTGATTTGTCTGCCTTTTCTCAGCTGCGGTGGGTCAGCCTCTGTGTCCCCTCTCATCTTCATTCAAACAAGTTTCGCCTGTTACTTCCATTCACCTCTCAGGTCTCTGTTTCCCAGGGGCCAATCAGTGTGTACTGTCACCCAGGCAGGTCCCTGGGGCCTCTTACCCTTCCCTTCCCCTGGGCCCACCTATTTGCGCAGATCAAGAGAGGCAAAGGCTATGGAAGGAGAGCTGGATATTTCCTCCCTGCCTAGACAGATAGGAAGGAACACAGGGTCCTGAGCACACCGAGTTCTGGCAGGGACAACTCTTTGTATGTTGGGGGATGTGATGGGGAGTGGGGGAGGGGGGGAGAAGGCTGGCATAGAAAATGGACTGTTCTTTAGTCATCCCTGCTGAGGCCTACATTCTGTATGGTGGATGAATTGTAACTTGGGCCTTCTCCTTAAGCAGTTCCAGTTCTGCAAACTGCTGGTAGAGGCAGTTTTTGCTGTTTCTGAGGGAGCCCCTTCCCTGGGAGGGGGTGGGCTGGGATATGCCCTTTGGATGTTCCCTCTAAACTCAGACACCCTATAGCAACTCCTCATTCAAGTCAAATTAGCAGACGTTCACTAAGTGCCTATTATGTGAAATGTCTTATGGGAGGTGCCAGACATATGAAGGTGACACCGATCAACAAGCATTTGTTGATCCATCAACAAACCTTGTTTGAGCACTGACTGTGTGTCAGACACTGTCACTTAGAAGGCTTCCAGAGCTGCCTCATTTTAGCACTCTGAAAATCTAGCCTCAACTTCCCCATCCCCTTCTTCATCCAGTATCAGAGCTCTTGGGCCCCTTGCCTTGCCTTTCTAACTCTGTCTAAGCCTTTCTTCCATTCCTGTGATGAGGCCAGGTGTGTGGGTGTGTGTGTGGGGTTTCAGATGGGCGCAAGGGACATGCCCAGGTATATCATATTCTAGGTTTCTTACACATTGGGTTGGCCTGTCTCTCCCCACCCCTTTTTTTTTTGGCCTATCTTCTTCCTCCCTCTCCCAGTCTTCTGTTTCTCCCTCAATATTCTCTGGCCCTCTCCTCTTCCCATCTGTCCAGAACAGGCTGATGTTATTGGTGCTTCATCACTACGGGACCTTATGTTCAGCCATGACCCAGTTACACATTTGCCTCTGTTTTCCCTCTTCCTGACACTTCTATTAGTCCCTTCTTGTCTCCCCAAGGCCCTGTGTAAATGGCTCTTAACCAGAACTTACTGATTCTCTGAGAGTCCCAGGCTGGGGTATGCATTATAATGACTTCCCCTGTTTTCCTCTTTCCTCCCAATCCCATCCAAGAAACCTTTGCGTTAGTTTTACTCTGTTAATCATCCAGGAGCCTAGAAGTCTGGATTCCTGGGTTCTTACGGAGGTGTTGTTATCCTGGATCAGTCACTTCCTTTCTCTTGAAATTACCCCACCTGTGAAAGTACAACAGAGCCCTTGTGTGGGAAGAATTAGGGTCTCTGATGAGAACTGTTTTTTCTTGATTTGGGGAAGGGGCTTGGAGAGGGAAATAGAGGGACTGGAAGAGGAGGTTGTCCCCAGGCTCAGTCTTGGCCCAAGCTGTCCCCATATACATTATCAACATGTGTGGATGACTGACTGCAGCTCCAGAGCCTCTGACGAGGAATAGCAATGGAATTTTCTCTCAATTTTTTTCAAGCTAGCCCTAGTGGGGGGCCCTGTAAGCAGTGTCTACTGTGACTTTGTTTGGATCCTGTGTTATGTATTTATTTATTTGAAATGTGAGGGATAAAAATGTTCTAATGAGCTGTCTGAATTCAGCACCTGACCCTTTACCAGGGAAGTAGGGTATGCCAGGAAGGCCCAGCCCATTTCTCCTTACTGCACTGAGGCAGAGCTTTCTCCTCACTCTTTACCACTGATGGGGTGCCACAAGGTGGAGTGGAAACAGCGTTGGGTTTGGAGTCAGAAGACCCGAGTTTGAAAACTGCCACTGCCACTTGACACCTGGGTGACCTTGGAGAAAGTCCTTAATCTCCCTGTAAAGCCTTAGTTTTACTGTCACCTCTAAAATAAGAGGGTTAGACTAGATGTTCTCCAAAGGCTCTTCTCCCTAAGTCTATTATCTCATGAGTTCCCCGTGGTCACTTAAGTGACTGATTGGATCTTAGCTAGAATAGCCCTAATTTGGGCTCTTTGTGTGTGGCCTTATTGCTCTCTCCCTATGGTCATCCTAAGGGAAAGATCACCTCATTTTTATTACCTCCAGGAGGGGGATAGGACTCCAGAGGTCCTGGGCTCACCCCACAGTACTGTTATCCCTTGGAACCAAGGGTCCCTGCTTTGCATAGCCATGAGTGAGGAAGGCATAGGCAGGGTCTGTTCAAATTCTCCAATTGCTGCTGCAAGAGGCCAAGAACGATGGAGAGTTGGTCAGCTGAGCCCTTTGCCCCAGGAAACCTGGATCCTGTCTGGGTGCCCCATCTAGGATCTTTTCTGGAATATGGAGCCCCCTGCCCCTCTACTTCAAGGGAGTGATGTTGCATGTTGTTTTCTGGTGCTTGTTACTAAGTTTTGAATAAACAGCCGTGTGAGAGTTTGCCATGAAGGAGCTGTGACCGAGGACCTCATTGGCCCTGTGTGCTTTTTAAATACTCCCTCTATTTCCCTGTTCCCATGAACTGGAGGTTCTGAGCAGACGTAAGAAGCCACTTGGTTCTTCTCTACCCTGGGCACTGGACTAAACTTGCCTCATCGTCTCTAGGAGGCACTCCAGAGAAGAGGATGGTCTCACTGCTGTTTCCTCTCTTACTCCAAATAGCAAAGCCAGCTCGATACTGGTCATAGTGATCCGTCGGACATAGAATCCAGGATCCTTAAGTGTTCTGCCATGACCTTGGATCATACTGTCTGTACCCATTTCTCCATATGGGGCCCAGACAAGTCTTTTGGGGAGAGATGAGGCAGTACCGGTTTTTTAAGGTTCTGGCTTCACACTGCCCGCCAACCTCAGTAATCTCCCCCTCCCCCTACTCATTTGCTTTATATTTATTGACTCCCAGAGACTATTTTTGAGCAAACAACCCCTCCTCAAGGTGAGAACGGGAGAAAAGAGACTTTCTAGGGCGAAGCCAAAGACCCCCTGATACATCTGTACCCAGGCCTGGTTCCCTCCTGTGGAGGAGTGTGGGGGGTGGTGTGTGGTGGGGAAGGGTCAAGGGAAGGAATTTATCTCCTGTTTCAGATGGGGAAGAGGGGTCAGAATTCTACCCTTTTAATGTGATGAGTGGGTGTGGGGTGGGGAGCGACTTTTCATCTGCTGAGAAGAAAGAGCTAGGTGATTAAGGTCCTTCCCAGGCCTGAGCAAGGGGGATGACAGCTCAGATGAGAAATCTCCCTATGCTGAGGCTCCAGCAGCAGCCCTTCCAGGGGAGAAAATATTCATTAGAAAAAGAAGCCAAAGTGATGGATGGAGTCAGGGCCCAGCTGGGGTTTGGGAAGAGGCTGGTATGAGGGGTATTGATCGCAGCCCCTAGGAGGAGGAGTGGGGGGCGGGGTGGGGAGGGGCAGATATCTCAGCAGAGATGCTGCAAACACCAGCTGCCTCAGGGCCACGCCAGGCTCCCGGGCTGGCTGGGGCTCGGAGGTAGCCTTCTGTCATCTTGACAGGTGATCCAGGCCAGCTCCCCCAATCCGGGCATCCCCTCCCATCCCCTCTGCCCGGCTCCAGGGAAGGGGTGTGGCTTCCAGCAGCCCCACAGAGGCTGCCACCAGCGGATGTGATCCTCCCGCCCCCAGCCCTACCCCGCCCCCTTCGGCGTCCTTCAGCCCATCCTCCCCGCAGCCTCCCCCTGCCCTCTCGGCTGACCCCACCCACCCATCCCGCCGCCCGCCGGGAGGGAGGCACCGACACGGACGTGGAACTCGGGGGAGGGTCGCCGGCTGCTGGGCCAAGTAGCCGTCACGAGTGGAGCTGTGTGGAGCGGGGGGAGGGAAGCACTGGGGAGGGTGCGCGTGTGTGCCGGGAGACTGTGAGCCAGGCCACGTTACTCGGAGGCCGGACGACTCGGGGCCGGGGGAGAACTCCATCGCGAGCCACCGCGCACGTCCCAGGGACCCTGCCTATGAGCAGCCTGAGCAGCCTAAGCATCCTCCCCACCCCTGCCAGGACTACATTTCCCAGCAGGCTGTGCGGGTGGGCGGAGGCGAGAGACAGAGGGCCGTCGGCCTGTGCCACGCCTGCGCAGGGTGCAGGGCGGCCTGTGGGGGGCGTGCCCGCGGTGGGGCGGAGGGGAAGCCGGGGGGGCGCGCGGAGGCGCCGGGGCGGGCGCGCGTCCGTGGCGGTGATGGCGGTGCGTGAACGCGCGGCGGCAGCAATGGCCGCTCTGGAGCGGCGGGTGCCGAGTCTCGATGACTTCGCGGGACAGAGTTGGAGCTCGTGGGTGGAGCGGGCCGACCTGCCCGCGGCCGACGGTGAGTGAAGCCCCCCCCAATGCCCCGGGGCCCTGGCCGATGCCTCCCCTCCCCCCCTCCCGGCCCCCGCCGGCTGAGGGGAGCTGTCGACGGGAGCCGCCGTCCGGCTCCCCGGCCCCCCAAACAAAGGATCCGCCGGGTCCTAGTGCCCGCCCGCTCCGCCGCCGCCGCGCCCCCGGGTCCTAGCGCCGCCCGGCCCGCAGCCCACCCAGCTCCGCCGGCCCGACCTCCGCCGCCCGTCCCCGCCCGCTCTCCTGCAGCCTCCGCCCGCCCTCCTCGTCTGCCGCCCGGCCCCCGCTTCCGCCCCTCCCGCGCCCGCCCCCCGCTTCTCCCCTCCGCTTCAGTCCTCTTCCACGTGTTTCCCACGCACCCCGCTTCCCCTGCTCCCCGTGGCCCCCCGTGCTCGCTCCTCCTCCTCCTCGGCGCCCGCAGCTCCCCGCCAACCACCCCCCGCCTTCGCCGCCGCGCCCCCCCCCAGGCCCCCCGGCCGTCGCTCGGCCCCTGCATCGCTCCGGGGAGCGAGTGGGACGGCGTTGACTTCCCGTGATCTTTGTCTCGGAGCCCCCAGGAGGCACCTGGCCTTGCCGGCCTTTCGGGGTGACAGCGGGCACCGCACCCCAGAAGAAGTTTGCGAGTGAGAGGTGGAGGACGAGACCGCATGGAGCAGTCTCTGATGACACTTGTTCTCTTGAGACGTCTCCCCCGCTCCATCCCCTTCCATTACCCCTCCTGCTTGCACTTGACGGACTTTTTAAAGCAAGAGCTGCCCCTTGTCTCGGGAATGCACACCCCCTCTCAAACCCTGCACCCCCATTTCTGGTGATTATATAAGACTGTCAACAATCCACTTTGCCTAAGGGGGGGGGTGGAGGCAAACCTAGGGGTGGAAATAGCGGGGAAAGCCCCCAAATGGGATCCTGGCCCACCCAGAGCCTGCCCTGGACTGGGTAGGTGAGGACAGGACCATTGTCAGGGTTTGGGCGCATTTAGAACCGGAAATAGAATCAGGCAGTTGACTCAGAATTGATTTTTTTCCCCCAAGGGACAAGGAGGGGGTGTAAAGGAGGGAGGGGAGAAAGAGTAGGTGGGATATGGGGTGGGGGGGTAGACTGGACAGAGCTGCCTTGTGTAGCTAAAAGATGTTTTTATCATCAACCCAGAACCCGAAGGTGCCAGGGCAGCCCTAGCCCAAAGCTGCCTGCAGGGAGGGGAGGGGCTTGCCCAGAATGGAATCATGAGCCATGGATCTAGGGAGCTGGGTCTCTTTCCATCATGGGACTTGTTTCCCTCACTGGTTTTTGGAGGAGTTTGCTCCTCCTTAAGTGTCCCCAGTTCTGTGCCTGGAATGGGTTCCTCTTGCCCCAACCCAGAAGGCTAAAGGGCTCTGGAAATGGCAAAGGGCCCCAAGATAGCAGTTTTGTTTTGTTTTGTTTTTTTTCTGTACTGTATCAAGACTGCCTTAGCAGAACCTGGGAGGCTGGGGAGTATGCTTTAGTGGTCTGTGTCTGGAGGTGTGGTGGTATCCTGTGTAACTTGGGAGAATGGCCACTTAGGACCCTATGGAATGGGAGGGGAAGTGCTTGCTATGAAAAATGGAGAGAGATTCTGAGGTCTGGAATAAAACTCTTCCAGACTGGAAGTCATTGGTGGGGGAGGAAGGGGGAGGGGGAGGAGGAAGAGGGTGACAAGAGTCTTTCCCCTTTAAATGGGAAAACATTCCTTCTAGGGGGTGGGATTTGCCCACAGTCAACCAGTAAGTCAGCAATAGAATGGAATAGAACCTTGTATTACAGGATCCTTAAGGAAGTAGTTGGTTCTGTTAAGGTGGGAGTCATTACAGAAGCAGTTGTACAGGGGCCCAAGCACTTGAAGTGACCCCCTAAAAGATGCCCAAAATAATTCTGAGCATCAGTAAATATTTATGGCTTCCCAACCCCCCCCCCCAATTCCCTGAGGGTTCAGGCTACACTAACGTGGAGAACATAGAAGAGATGAGGTCTCTCTAACCTGGCTACCCGAGGATACTGAGGGGCTCCTGAAGAAGGGAAATGGTGCTGACAGAGCTGTGTGTCTCTCTCAGGGGCTGATCTGGAGGAGAGCAACAAGAATGGGAAGAAGAAGTTGGATGCCATGACCCTCATAAAAGAAGGTGGGAGCCAGCAAATAGTAGTGTTGGGCCCCTAGGCAGACGTTCACGACTACCTGTGTGACCTTGGGCAAATTAGTTTACCTTTCTAGGCCTCATTTTCCACATCTGTGAAATGATAAAGTTGGCTTGGATGGTTTTGAGATCCTTCCCTCCTTGCTAGAGGAGTCTGGTTTGGAAGCATCAGGTCAAAGGGATGATTCCTCTTATGAAGGGAAGAAGTACTATTGCTTAGCCCCGTCCCTCCTCTCTCACGTAGGTGCTGTCCCATAGTTCAGGGAGGCTAGGTGCCTTCTGGGTGATCAGGGCAAGGGCTTTGGGATGAGGTGGAAATAGAGGCAGCTTGGGCCCTTTCCCAAAGTGATGTGAGCACCTGTCATTGCAGACATGTCCATATTTGGGCACTGCCCAGCCCATGATGAGTTCTACCTGGTCGTGTGTAACCACTGCAGCCAAGTGGTGAAGCCTCAAGCTTTCCAGAAGCACTGCGGTGAGGGATGAGGGGGGCTGGGAGGATGGGAAGGAAGGATGAGAGGAGTAGAGGTAGAACTCTGATGGCAGGAAACATGGGAGGGTAGCCAGAGGGGTAGGAAAGTGGGGTGGTGCAGCAGGAATGGTCTTGACAGTGTAGAGATGAAATGAGGGAGTGTTGGGGGTTGAGGTTGAGGTATGACCAATAGGGACCTCCACCGAGCTTAAAGGAAGGAGGTAGAGGCCGTAAAAGGGATCATTCTCAAGTCTGGGGTATAAGACCCCAGATGATGTTTTGGGGTTATCAACCCCCAAAGGGATACACTCTTGAGAGGAGAGGACAGGGAAGCTGCTTTCTCAATGGACCTGTGAGCAGGGATGTAGAATGAAGGATGGAGTTGATGCCATTCACTCTGGGGTGCTTTGCCCTTTTTTGTGACAGAAAGAAGACATGGGCCCCTCAGCAAGCTGTATGCCCGGGCTCAAGCCTCTGCCACCCCTCAGAAATGCCATGCAGTAAATGGGCAGGGCCCAGCTTGCGGGGGCCAAGGCCCCACCAAAGCCTCCTCAAAGGAGAAGGTGCCAGGGGGCCGAGGCCGGGCTAATCACCCACCTGAGAAGGCACAAAAGGACAACCTCTGGTAAGGAGAGGCTGAGGGCTCCTCTCAGGCTCCTCCCCAACTTGGGCAGGGAATGGGTTATCGGAGGAGGTATACCACTCCTGGGCTGGCTGAGGTCACTGCCCTGAGGCTGAAGCAAGTACAACCTGTCCTCCCCTACTTCTCTACTGCCAAGATGACCGAGGCCTTTGGCACCCATTACCCCCTTGGGAACCTTCTGAATCTACAGGGAAAACCTTCAGAAGACAGAGACCCCCTGATGGGGACAGAGCCTGTGCCTGGGTGGGGGACCTTTCCCCCTCCCTTCTCCCATAGCCTCTCCCTTCAGCCTGTCTCCACTCTTTCCTTCTAGCCTCTTCGTGCCTGTGGTGAATTTGGAGAAGATTTCCAGTCTCCCTAAACCTGACGGACAAGGGATCAGAGTGAACCCCAAGCCTCTGACTCCTCATTCCACTTTTCTCGGCCCATCCAGTGGTCTTACTAAGGATACCCCTGGGAAAGCCCCCACAGCTCCCTCTTCCAAAGAACTTCCCAGCAAAGGGAGCAGCGACTCAGTCCTCTTGGAGGGACCTAGCCCCCAGGCCGAGAGTGGTAGCCCCCAAGAGAAGGAGCCCAGTGTTGCCAGGCTTCAGCCCAAGGCCCACAAGAAGATGGCGCGTGAGTTGTTATTTTGGAGGCAGGAGTGAAGGGCAGGGAGCCTCTCAGTGTGATTTTCCTCTGCCCTTCTGGAAGGGCTGTGGGGGTGGGAGAGTTGGGAGACTGGGAGATTAGGCCTGCTGGGCAGCTGTCAGCACAGGTTAGGGGCCACGTGCTGCCCATGTGGGATCCTCTCCCCTACTCCTCTGCATACACATGGTCATTTCCAAGGGAAGTCGGCACAAGCCAGAGCCCTTTGGGTGCTGACCTCAGCTCTGGATTACCTTGCTGGCACATGAGAGGCTTGTCCTCTGAACATAACAATGACATGTGGAGAAGCCCTCTCTCACATTAGGACGCCCATCTCTCTCCCCTTTCCCTGTTTGTTCCCAGGGTATCAGACAATTGGTTTTTCCCTTGTAACTAGTGTTCCAGGTACGAGATACTGCTTTTGTTTCCCAATGGGTGTTGGCCCTACCTCCTTCTGTTTACTTTGGGTTTGGATGCCTGAAAAGGGATCACAGCCTTTCCATTTTCCTAAGTGGAGTCACTGGGTGTCTCCTACCCCACCCCCCTGCCCCAAGTTTGACACCCAAGGAGAGCCAAGGGCACCTTCAGCCTAAGTCCCATGTTGTTCCTAGGACAATTGGTGGGGAGACTGAGACCCCTCCCCCTCACCTGGGGCCACATGAAGCTATCCTGGGACTGTAGGAGCTGTGCACCAAGTTGAGGCTGCCTGCTCTCTCTCTGCAGGGAAGGAGTGTGATCTGAACAGGCAGTGTGGGGTAGTGAACCCAGAGACCAAAAAGATCTGTACCCGCCTGCTGACTTGCAAGGTATCCATTGGGGAGGGAGGGCAGGCCCAGGGCCAGGCCATTGGGAAGGAAAAGTTGGGGAAAACCATGGTATCCACAGGGTAGCATAGCGTAGTCACAGACCAAGAGCAGGATGAGGGTAGGACTGTATTAGGAGGCTGGGCCAAGTCCATCATTCCAGATTGGGAAGAGACAGAGATTTGGTAATAGTCTGTTCCCAAAAGGTTCAAGAAAGGGAAGAGCAGTTTGAGTTTTGAACATTGGTTAACTGAGGCCCCTGGGGAGAACTTGAGCACAATTGCTTTTGCCCATGCCTCATGGTGCCCACCCAGATACATGGCCTGAGGTCTGGAGTGGGGTCTCATACCTCGCCCTGAGCCCTTTGGTAGAGCTGTCTCAAACGTGTGTTCCAGATTCACTCAGTGCATCAGCGCCGGGAGGTCCAGGGCCGGGCCAAGGACTTTGATGTGCTGGTGGCAGAGCTGAAGGCCAATTCCCGAAAAGGGGAGTCCCCCAAAGAGAAGAGCCCTGGGCGCAAAGACCTGGGCCCTGAGCGCCTCTCTCAGGAGCTGCCCTCTTCAGCCCAGGCAGTAGCAGCTCTGCCTGGCAGCACCTTCACACCCAGGGCCAAGCAGACCTATCCCTACTGTGCACTGCCTAGGTAAGGGCCCGGCCCCTACTCTGGATCTCTGGTATACATGCTCCACCTCTCAGATGTCCAAGAGAGAAAGACCTGCAAGGAATAGCGAATGGCAGGAGCCTCCTAGGATATTCACAGGATCTGCTTTCTTCCAGTGTTCAGGTGTTCTACTTTTTAGAGACTGTAAACTTGGATAGGTGCACTCTCACTATGGGGGACAGAGATGAGAGAAGCAGTGAAGGGGTGCTGTCTCGGTCGCCCCTGATCTGGCCTTGATATCCAGGCAGATGATAATTGTTCTCCATCACCCTGATCTTAGCTTCTTGTCATAAAGGGTCTTTTAAAAAGGAAATTTCTGGGGCTTGCGGTTGAACCCGGATCCCTTTTGGGAAATCAGGTGGAAGGGAGTTTAATCCCTCAAGCATCTCTGTGCTTGGGGAGCTCTGAGAATCATGGAGCCCATTGCCACCTTCCAGCGAGGCCCCCCTGGGGAGCCTGTGTTTTCCTAGCTTCCTTATATGACAGATGATCATTCTGAAGCTTGGAAAGGAGATGACAGGGCCAGGTCTGTGTACTGAGTCGGTGAGCATCCCGTATTGATTATCCCTTGGTGCACAGAGTATTGTGCCGGGGATGTGGGGAGATGCTGTGTCTCCTTCCCTCAGGAAGCTGCTCCAGCAGCAGGATGGGACACACGCATTCATCTCAGGGAACAGAGGCACACAGCTATTCAGGAAGTCCAGTGCTCAGAGCCGTGGGAAGTGAAGGAATGAGAAGAGGAAGTGTGCTGAAGTGACAGGAGCTGGGTGGCGTTGATTGAAGGATTCTGGGAATGTGTTTGGAGCAGGCTTTTGGAGGAGGTGTGAGAATGGCCCGTGCAGTGGCTTGGTGTGGACAGCAGGGGTGGAGAGAGACTGCTTCCGCAATGAGTCCCTATGCTTTTGCCCCCTCTTATCTCTGGTGGTCCAGAGATGGGGTTTCCACACAGGCTTTCAGAGATGTTCCCTCTCCCTGTTTTCTTTGGCCTTTCTAGGTCACGGGTCTCCTCTGAGAGTGAGCTAGATGACGAAGGCCCTTGTGGTGGTGATCGAGACCTAGGCCTATTTCCTTTCCCTCTACCCCGGGGTGGGGCCCAGGCTTCCAGCGAGGAGAGTGAGGAAGATGTAGCACCTGATGACTTCCACCACGTCCCTGACTGTCATTATGCAACTCGGCCCCCTCGGCCACAGGCGGTGAGTGCTGGGGCTGGACGGTGCTTAAATCCAGGGTACCGGGTATGGAACTGGGCCTGAGAGCCATCCACAGGAGAGCACGTCCACATCCTTCTCACTCAGAGCTGTGGGAAGGCATTGATTACTCATCTGCCCCGTTGAGCTAATAGTCTTCCTCTGTCTTTACATCACCCCACTCCCACTTTCTCTCCTCTTTCACAGACACTAGAGTGAGTGCATGTGTGCATGT